ATGATAACAATACACGTCAAGAACGCAAAGGCTCATGGGTAGATGCTTGTTTGCAAACAATGACACGCTATGGCCACCTCGCGCATGCGTAGGTGACGACTCCCCTACTTCAAGACTTGTACTAGTAGTTTTTGGGCTACATAGCTCAACAGGGATCCACAGTAAACTTACAAGTCCAGTTCTGGTTTGCTGGCGCACAATGTCTAAATATGGTCAGATGATATCTTGCATGGATGGGGATGCGGCTCACAACTGCATTGATTCCAGAAAGTGTAAATCGCGATTTCAAAATGAGTTAAAGGGCGAGCTACAAATGTTTTAATGTGATACAAAAGTTAAATTGTTGAGAAATAAATAATATTTTAATAAAATAGATTTCCACTACTAATAATAGAAAAAAAAAGGGATATCGGAATTCGCAATTGGTATAAACACTCTTGTTAATTATTATAAACTGAACCGTGAGCAAAAATAAACTAATTCTAACACTTACTTACCGAGTATATATACTATATATACTGTCATTATTTACTAATAGCTACCATCAGGACCATCAGGACGATAGGTGAGAACCTGTTTGGAATCTGGGTCCAAGTAAATCATGTTGGTCAGTTGTCTATGCCAGTTGGTGTGCTATATGCTCTGAATTTAAAATACCTACATCCTGGCCTTTTTATCATCAATACGCTTTGTGTATGTTGACTACTCGGGCTATCTCAAAGAAATCACCATTATTACAAGAGCAATATAGTGTTTGGGGTTTGGGTACGTCTCCCACCGCCTCATATCGTTTGTATCTCAGTTTAAGGTACCATGTCATTTTCACAGGGATTACCGACTCTTGCCAAACTGGATTAATTTAATCAATCACACTTACATAGAGACCGTTAGACAACACCCCTCACGTGATCACGAGCATTCACACGTGACCCATTTGCTCGCTGCCCAGGTTATTTCCTTGCAATATTATAGCCTTCGTTTTCAGACTTTTACTCCACCATTTGCTCCCTTGCTTTAGAAAAAAAAAATAATTCCAAGACGCAGTTTCCTAATTTGTCATTGCGAGTGAAATTCCTGTAATAATTAATGCAAGATTTCTCCTACTCCGATTTTTTTGAAGTAGCATACATTTCCATTGATGTAGATATTGTTAACGGACATGCACTCGTTTATTTATATATTAGCTGACAGTGCTGCTGTTCCTGTGAAAATTCTCTGTCCCACTTTAAAAAAGTAGTCTCTTCATATAGAGTCACGCGAAAGATGTAACTGCTACTGCATTCAACACATTTTCAGAAAACATATTGTTGCGCAATTTTCGAAATATTTAAATGAACAGTTGAAGTGATGTTCACTGAACTGATAACATATATTGGCGGCCCAGTAGCTCGGTATTCTCAAATGACATTGTATGTGTGAAATCACATTATTGACTTGGAAGAAAAAAAACAATGCACCATTTACGGTCTGCGTGACTGCATCATTCTTGAACACCCGCTTACGACATTCACGCTAAATACTCCGGATTCGCTAAATATTAACTTCTAGGTGGTGTATTTACAATTTAGCGTATGTTTTTGCTAAACATGGGACCACCATGAGGTATGACGCCATCAATTTTCTATGAAACAAAATCGAAACCAGTTCCTTCTGGTCGGGCCACATAATCCTTGTGACATTTCAGAGCACGTCATTGAACAAGGCAGACAATAACAAAATGTAGTTTTTTTTATTTATCTCAGAATTCTCGCATGTCGAGCATTTATAAAACACATTATATAAAAGCAAAC